TAAATATAAAATAGCCCCAACATGCATCATTTACTATAAAAAAAAAAAAAAAAAAAAAAAAAGCACAACATTTGAAAAATAAAATAGCTATTTTTTTCTCGCCCATAACAAAGGATTACATTTATTGAATTAATGGAGTTATTAAATGTTATGATATTATGATTAAGGATTCCGATTCTCGATTAATAGAAAATATAAAACGATGCAATATCAATTAAATCTCTGACTTTACAATAAAATTTTATTTGATATGCTTTTGTTATTTATGGTGCTTTTTGGGATTACATTATTGAATTAATGGAGTTATTAAATGAAAGTTTATTCGATATCTGAAACAGTGCAATTAATGCAAGCCTCTACATATCATTTTTCTCCCTCTCAAATGCTTCAAAGAAATGGCAGAAGCGAGAATGGATGAAGAAAGCAAATGCTGCGGGCCGTGGGTCAATTATTGGACCTCAGAATAAAAAAAAAAAATCATTTGAGCCATAAATAAAAATTTAAATATATATAAATGTATATAGCGTATGGGTCTTTAATGTTTTTCTGGATTTCTAAACTTAGGACTTTTAAAAGAAAAAAAATACATTTAAATTATCTCCACAAAAAGTGGTCTTGGGCTTATAGAATGACATTTGGGTTTATGGAATGACATGTGCATAAAGAATATGTTACATAATCATATAAAAAAAAATGTGTTCAATTAGAGTTTAAATTTACTCATACAAAATTTGAAATTTGCTTTCTAAATGTAATTATCTTAGTTATTATTCGTATTGTGAAAATTATAATATAGATGAAATACAATTAAGAATAAATCAATGTAATTATGTAAATTCTCTCTATAAGTTTATTTGAATATGTACATAATTAGAGATTATATTAACCATATAAAATTATAATTATAATTATAATTATAATTTTAATTGTAATTGTAATTTTGTATTCTATAAAAATAATAAATACTTGACCAATGGAAGCACAAAAATATTATTATATTAAACAATTTAAAATATTTTTATTTATTTATTTATTTATTTTATATTTATAATAAATTAATAACATAATTTTTCCCCGTGCATCGCGCGGGTGATAATTATTAAATAACAAAAATTTTATATATGAATAAACCTCATATAGAGTATATTTTTATAACATATTTTTCGTGCATCGCACGGGACAAATACTAGTAGGTCTTTATACTCGTTATTACTTACAATTCCAAATCTAACCAAACAATAGAATTAGTATTCTCAGTAATTCTTTTTTCACCAACCGAATAATGAAATTCATCTTCCTAGTAATTATTTTTCCATAGAATTTCAATTCCACTTCCCTTAAAATATTTTCCACGAACCAAACGAGCCCTAAGAAAAAAAGATAAAAGAAGAGGGAAAATAAAGGACAATACAAGCACTAAAGTAAAGCATTGGAAGCATATAATTAATAAAAATTTGTAAAAAATGCCCCTCTATAATATGACAATTATCATTGTTACTCCTGAATTATGAGTGGTGTAAATGTTGCCCCTCAATTATCAAAACGGTGCACATATAGCCCCTCCCATAACGGACATGTGGTTCCCCATTAGTGCATACTGTTAAGTCAGGGTAAATATGTAATTTAGTTGTTTTTTCCTTTTCCTTTTTATATAGTTTCCCTTTGTTTTTTTTTTCCCTTTTCTTTCTCGGCCTCAACATACAACAGTCCGAAGACGAGCAGCAATGGAGGTGGACTCAATTGGTGGTGTCCAGTAGCGGCGGCGACGGACGAGCTCCGGCGAGACCCTCCCTCGATTCGAAGTACTAGCGATGGACAGCGGCAAAGTCCAACGACGTTCTCTATTTCCAGCGTGAATGGCAGCTACGGCGACATGAAGCTCGGACTTTGGTTCGTCTTCTTCCAACGTGAACAAGACGAGGCAGCGCGACAGAGCCTCCCTCCCTCTCGTTCGACGAGGGCATTATTTCCCGGTTAACAGCTCCCTCTTCCCCTATTTCCGACAGAGCAGCGACAACAACCAACCAAGGTGGAACTCCGGTGACGTTGTACTATCCCGGCAAGACAACGTGGAACTGAGACGATGGCAGTTGTGGTAAGCTTCCGGCGGAGCAGTGTCGAGCTGTGGCTATGGCGGCTGTGGGCAGTGTGGGGAGCTACGACGGCGACTGTGGGCTGCTCACCGCCGGACTGTTGTTTGTTGAGGCCGAAAAAGAAAAAGGAAAAAACAAAGGGATAATATAAAAAGGAAAAAGGAAAAAATAACTAAATTACATATTTACCCCGACTTAACGGTGTACACTAACTGGGAACCACAGGTCCATTACGGGAGGGGCTATATGAACACCATTTTGATAATTGAGGGGCCACATTTACATCGCTCATAATTCAGGGGTGACATTGATAATTGACATATTATAGAGGGGCATTTTTTACAATTTTCCCTATAATTAATCTATTCAATAGCACTTAATAAATGGTGAAGACACCAGTGTTATCAGTCCGACACTCGACTTAGCTTCAACATCAAAACCATTGCATATCAGAAGTATGGTTTCTGCTTTTGTTTTCCCCTTCCGACACTCCCCTCATCCAAAATGCTTCTTCGACGCGGGTTTCAAGCTGGCGACTGGCAAGGCGACGTTCGGGGCAGTCCTCCTCGCTCACGACGGAAGTTTCCTTGTGGCATGCAATGGCCCACTCGTGGATTGTTATTCCACTCTCATAGCGGAATCATTGGCTTGCAAAAAAGTGCTCTTATGGCTCAAGGATCGGAACATTTTATCTGTGCATTTGTTTACTGATTGTTCTGAGTTACGTAGTAGTTTATTGGTCTCCTATCCGTCCATTTTGTCTTATGCTGGAGTCCCTGTGGACCAATGTAAGGCTACTTTAACTAGGTTATCTCATTATTTTGTTAGCTTTAGAGCTTTAAATTTACATGCTCATACTCTTGTTTCAGTAGCCTATAGTCGGGCTGACTCGCTGTATTGGACTCTGTCCCTCCCCGACTCTATTGTTGCTTTTATCAAATAATATATTGCAATTTTATTTTTCAAAAAAAAAAACTAAAAATGTCACCATTTGCAGCTAGATGTATGTCTTATACTAAAAACCCCAAGTTTTAGTGGCTCTTATATATACCATAGGAGGGCATATCAGATGAAAAAAGGAGTTCACAAACAACAGTTCAAATTTACAAGTTTGAATTTTACTTTGATGGTGAAATTGAAATAAACTACAACGATAGGAAGGCAAAATCGTCTATATCAAGTATTCATTTTAGTTTCCTATGAATTTTTATTGCACAATTTAGCAAAAAATAAAAAACTTACTTGGAATTAAAACCAACAGAATTATATCCTCACCGAAGCAAAGTTAATTCCATGAGGATATAATCCTCACCGAATTAAAACCAAGCGTTCATAGTTAAATTTTTCATCTGCAGCATGATAATTATCGAAAACAAATTCTCAAAAGACAATAAATTAGTTACCACTACAACGGAATTCCAAAAGGCTAATCAAAACTTTGATACTGAAAATGAGCTTATTATTTTATACTGCGTAGTACTTAATAAAGAAGTAGTGGCATTACCTCCACAATCCACTGCTCCACGCCCTGCGAATCCGGTGGCCGCCTCTCCCCTGCGACAGCGCCGAGCCTGCCGACCACCTGCCCCGCTTCCAGGCTCGCCATTGTTCGAACTTTGAAGGTAGGGAACTTTGAATGATTTCTTCTAGTTTACTGCAATTTCTGTTTGAAATTTACACTTTCCAGCCTTGGAGGCTGGAATTTCCGGCATTGAAGGTTGGAAAATCCGGCCTTCAAGGCCGGTCGAAGACTGGAAATTCTAGCCAGTTCTTTTTGGCGAGGGAATTTGCATTTGTAATTACTAGGTTTCAGTGTTGGGCTTCATGGTGCAGAGAGAAGTAATCATCAAAGTGTGTGATTAGAGCTATAGGTTAATAATAGCACTGTAATTGTAATGTAATGATGCTTCAAATGGAGCTATAGACTAAAACAGAAGATTATCTATTGTATTTATGTACTTTGAAGATACTATTTCTCAAGGTGAAAGTTCAATTCTCTTATGTGCAATGCAAATTGGAAACACTATTGACTGCACTATTGAGTAGTTTAAACATGGAATATTTTCCCATTAGAATAGCATTTGCAAAGATATATGGCATGCTTTGATTTATATGTATGTATGTTTAAGTACATGTTCTATTCAATTACAGCTTAATCTAGATTAGATTTATATGATAATTTATTTCCTTGCTATGAGCCTACTAGTTAGCATAACATAGAGTAAAACTCTTCATGTATTGTTATCTGTGATTTCTCTGTATCTCTTTTCTCTTGCTTTTTATATGGGATGGTGAATTAACTATGGCTAGAATACTAGATGCTGTGACATTTGGGCTGTTTCTTTTTCTTTCTTTTGCTAAAGCCTTACATAATCAGTGCTCAACTCCCCTAAAGTCTTTTTCTTTCTTATTAGCTCTTTCAACTTTCAAGTTTCATCATGTTTATGTTACCTTCTAATAAAGGTGTTGTCTGTCTTCTCCTACTTTTCTTTACAGATTTTTCTTGTGTTGTTGACAGTGTAAAAATATATAATTTATATTCAAATAGTTTATATAAGTATGATCTCTCCACTTTGCATTTTACTTTTTGAGTATTTTGTGTTGTGTATTAGCTTATAGTACTGGAATGGATGAATGGGTTGATCATGTTAATGTATATCATTGCCAATATGGTATGCTATCTGTATATTTATTTCTGTCATAGGTCATGTTTTGGATATTAGAGAACGTTTTATGCAGTACATATTTCTGGATTGTTTGTTCAATGTAACTATTTAATGTTTTGTTTTTGAAAAAAACTTGATTTTTTTTAGCTTTATTAGTGTATTAACTATTAAGTCTTTATAGAGAGTGTTTTTCTTGAATTTTACTTGAAGGGAGTGTTCATCTACTATTTAGCTTACTGGGCTTATACATGTAAATTGTATGAATATATTTGATTTTTCTTGGAACACTACAACTGATTGGAGTTCATCTACTATATAGAGGGTGTTTTCCTTGGATTTTACTTGAAGCGTCCTCCTACACCCAAGTCTATAATCCATCAGAAATTTGGTAGTAAAGCTGTGTACCACTGTACCCAGTTTAGGAAATCCAAGACTGTAGTCAAAATGAATGTCTTGGGTTAGGAATCTCACAGAAGGGTCTTTGTCTCCAATCTTCTTGTGAATTAATCATTAAATGTTGAGAATTGGGGTTCACAAAGCCCCAAACCGAACTGGAACCAAACTTTTTCAAATCGAACCGAATTATGTTAAACCGAATGGTTTCATTTTTTCAAAACCGAACAACTCGAACCAAATACCTAAACGCACACCCCTAATTTTGGGCTTAGCAATGTTGTTCAAGCCGATATATTTAATTTTCCAATCTTTGAATTGTAATTTATGCACTGCTTGTGCATTTTCCAAGGGTATGCCCCGATGATTTTGTGTGTGTGTGTGTGTGTTTTTTTTTTTTTTTTTTTTGCATTAATATATTTACCTTAACCCAAAAAAAAATAATTCTATTCTATATAAATACATGGGTGGCAAATTCTGTTCTTTTCCTTTATAAAACAGAGACTTAAATTTTTGTAAACTGCAAATGCCAATTTTTTTTTTTTTTTTTGAAATAGCAAACGCCAATTCTTTGAGTGAAGAATTCATACCAGATAGTTAACCAACTGACGTTATGTCTTCATTGGCATCAATGAAATCCGCAGTTGAATCTCTCTGCAATGCCAAGAGGCTTAGGGAAGCCTTGGCACTCATCTTCCACAACCCAACCGGAGCAGACTATTCTCTGTACTCGAAACTTCTTGATCTTTGTATCGACCTAAAGGCCAAAAGCCATGGCCATTTGATTCATGCCCATTTGATAAAAAATGATTTTCCGTCGAGCATACACCTGAACAACAAGCTGATCATATTCTATTCGAAGTTTGGTGAGATGGAAGTCGCTCACATGGTGTTCAACAGAATGCCTGAGCGGAATTTGGTTTCTTGGACTGCGTTGGTGTCGGGGTATTCTAAGAATGGTGACTCAGGAGAAGCTTTGGGGGTGTTTTCTACAATGCACCGGGAGGGTTTAAAGGGTAATCAGTTTACTTACGGAAGTGCCTTGAGGGCGTGCACCAATTTGTTGTGTTTGGATAGAGGGAGGCAAGTACAAGCGCGTATCCAGAAGAGTAGATTTGCTGGGAATTTGTTTGTGCAGAGTGCATTGCTTGATTTCCATTCAAAGTGTGGGAAAATGGAGGATGCTCGTTGTGTTTTTGATTTGATGTCGGAGAGGGATTTCATATCATGGAATGCAATGATTGGTGGATATTCTTTTCAGGGGTTTGATGATGACGCGTTTCTGATGTTCCAGTTGATGCTCAGAGAAGGTATACTTTGATTTGCTATTTTCAATCCTCTCTCTAATGTGAATTGAGACTTGTTACTTTAAATACTTAGAAAACTGAAATTTCAAGTGACGCTTTATGCCAATTTCAAAGTGACTATTTTATAATTCATTGCTCTTCATGAGGTGAAGAGTTGGATATGCTCTCTATTTTTGTGGTAACTGCCCAGTATTACCAACCCTATCATATAGTTGAAACTTGTACATACATGACCTTTAAGCTACAACGTGTGTGCTTTTGCTAATCTATAATATGGCAGCCGACTACATTTCAGAAAATGACTACTTCTAAGTTTTGAGTTATGCCAAATACTTCTTCATGGTTATTCATTTAACAATAAGCAACTAGATTTGATTGGTCGTTTATTATACTCTATTTTACTCCATAATGGTGATGCTACTTTTATGTAGGTATGCATCCTGATTGCTTCACCTTTGGAAGTATTCTGAGAAACTCATTTGGAAGTTGTAGGGTTGCTGGACTCACAAAGGTCAACATAATACATGGTTTTATCATTCAACTAGGTTATGAGTCGAATAATATCTTGAGTGGATCTTTAATTGATGCCTATGTCAAATGTGGAAATTTGGCTGGTGCAAATTGTCTCTATAGGGATTTGAAGATTAAAGACACCATAGCATGCACTGCATTAATTACGGGGTATGCTCGTGAAGGTAGAAGCAGTGATGATTGGCTGGAACTCTTCACTGAGATACACCGGATGCATAGTGGAATTGATAGTGTACTATTGTGCTCAATGCTCAATATGTGCGCTAATTCGACATTGCTGGCTCTAGGAAGGCAGATGCATTCTCTTGCATTGAAATATCAAAATAATAATGATGTAGCATTAGGAAACTCTTTGATTGACATGTACTCAAAAACAGGTGAAATTGAAGATGCAAAGAGAACATTTGATCACATGAAAGAGAAGAATATAATTTCATGGACATCAATGATCTCTGCTTATGGTATGCATGGCCGCGTAGAGGATGCAATTTTGCTTTACAAGAAGATGGAATCTCAAGGAATTTATCCAAATGATATAACGTTCTTGTCTCTCTTCTCTGCTTGTAGCCATACTGGGTTGACTGTTGAAGGTTGGGAATGCTTCCGCAATATGGTTGGCAAGTATAAACTGTTGCCGCGGTCAGAACATTATGCCTGCATGGTAGACCTTCTCGCACGTGGAGGTTGTTTGGAAGAAGCCCACAATTTGATATGTAGGGGGGATATTAAGCCTGATGCCTCTCTTTGGGGCTCAATTCTTGGGGCATGTAGTATGTATGGAAATACTTCTCTTGGAGAAGTAGCAGCAAAGCACTTATTTAGTATGAAACCCCAGGAGTCTGCCAACTATGCTGTCCTAGCTAACATATATGCATTGGGAGGTTTATGGCAGAGGGCATCTGATGTACGGGAACTGATGGTAAATAGAGGGTTACTGAAAAACCCTGGCTATAGCTTTATCCAGTCAAAGAGTAATAAGATAGCACTTGCTCCTACTGTTCAAGAAACTGATCCAAGTGAGTCTTCCTTAAGAATGTCAGATCCAGGTGCTTTAATTTAGCGCCAGTTTAGTTTTCAAATGGTTTCTGGGTAGGGCATTGGAGACGCAGAGGCGGCAGAGCTGATGATATATGAAAAGTTTTTGAATAATCTGGTGACATAGGACTCTAAATCTGGCCTACATAATTGATTGTGCCGTTCAAGGACCTGCATTTTTTGCCAGTGCAACTCCTCAACTTGATGACCTTCTTGAAATTGCTAAGAAGGTAAACCAACTCCACCTCAATTGATTTGGTGTTTTGGCTGTGGTGCTCATACTCTTAACAATTTGTGCTGTGATTGTCACAAATGCCATATGTAAGGTTAAAGATCCTGACACAGAGATGATGACAATGTTTGAGAAAGAAACAGTTACCAACCAAGTTATGAATGTAAGTTTTCCCCTCCCTGCTTTCTTTCTTTGCTTTTCATGTTTGTTTAATAAACACCTAAAGGGCGTTGAAGGATTGGGACTTCAGAATTAAAATTGACTACTTTCATATTAATTCTACGTGTGTTTTCTCTTTTGTTTCAAGATAGCTTGATCACTTCAAAACCAATGCTTTATTTCCTTTTTATTTGTTTTTATCTTAATTATACATCATTTATCCCTCTCTCACTCACACAGACACGCGTGTAAATGCAGCAAACTGCACACATACGGAGTACTTTAATACTGCCATGGATGCTGAAAAGAAAAGGATAAAGAAATTGTCTAGCCATGCTGCAACTTTGTTCCTTAGTTACCATGATTCTCAATGTAATTGGAAGATTGACTCCTGTGCATAAGACAATGAGAAAGAGACACGCAATAAACCTGCTAGAGACTCAATCCATTGTTTCATCAGCATGTGGCAGGTAGCTGCTTTATTCTTTACTGCTTATATAAATGTTTCTCATTATTTCAGAAGTTAGGAGCCTGATGTCTCATTACATATGCCGTGTAAGATATATTGAGTGCTTTTGTAGGCTAGCAATATGATTTTGGTATTTATTTTATTTTTTTTAAATATATTGTATATTGCCTTCAAAGTTTTCTTAATAATCTCATGATTTAAGATGACCCTTTCAAAGAAATTTCAAATTTGACAACATTAACAGGAGTTTGGGGACTTATTGGTCTTCACCTCGCTGATGATGCAATTCTACGTTTTAACTACGTCTCTTATGCAAGACAGTTACAGGTATAAACTTTTTGTCTAGATCATTAGGTGTTGATTAATTAATTATTTCTTTATTTTTTCTATAGCATTTTGGAACTTCTATACAACGCAGTGCCCTATCAACTGGGTCCACTTATAGGGGTATACACATCTTGACTGAAAAATTGGAAGCTTTTCATTGCATCCTATAATTGATGCCATTCATCAATTTATAGCTGCAGCTGTAGAAATTGAGGAAGAAGTGAAGGTTCTAGAAAAGATAAATTTCTTTAAGTTCTTGTGTAATTCTCTTATTTTTGTCTTGTTTGAACATGTGTGACTTTTGATTTCATAATTTGCTCTTATATGTTATTGGTATAGTTGGAGAATTAATGATGCTACTGTACTTTTTCTGCTATTTAATTCTGAAATGCAGAAACTGAGCGAGGATGAAACCATGGACGACCTCTTTTTAAGAGGCGACTGTTAAATGATCGATTGATATTTGCCGAAAGGGGTTTCTTAGATGGAAAAAGGCTTCCAGGAAAGCAATGGTTCAAGCATCTTGTAAGCATTTGTCCCAGAACTATATTGTTTTTATTGAACAGTAGACCAAAGTGGTTTTAGATTTATGGGCCTTGTACTAACCATGAAAGCAATCTAGATTTCTTCCCTGGAATTGTCAATGCCATAGCATCCCACTGCATGAATAAGATCGAAAGGGAAGGTGTGATTCAATTCTTGGGCAGGGGTTCTAGGGGTTTAGGATTAGCATAGCGTAAGCTCGGTACTCTACTGGATCAAAAAAAATAAGAAGCTGTCTGCAATACTTGAGCCTCTGGTATGTCTGAGAAAAGGAATTCATTCTCCATGTGAAGGCACTGCTCCTGAACTGGAAACATGTTCATTTTCTCAACATGCATTGAAGTTTTAACATATAACACAACTTTGACATATACTTGACAGGTTTTGATATTGATATGTATATATGGTATAGATCCTGTTTCCATTTACATTTGATGGAACTAATTGACTTGGGGTATGTACAGATCAATTGAACCAAAATAATAAAGAGGGTAAATAGTAAAGGTAAATTATTGTAATAGTATTTCATTGTAGAAATATAACAAAATATACTGTGTAAGAATGAGACATGATTGTCTAGACTAAGACATAACAATACCTTAAATATGGCAAATTATGTTGTGAAACCGTGTCCATCTTGCAAGGTAGACAGGGTTCCAAAATTATTCATAATTGTGAATATAAAGTTCAAAAATTATTAACATAGAATTCTATAATAATGAACATAGAGTTTTGTAATTGTGAATATAGAATTCAATAATTGTGAATATGAAGTTCAAAAATTATGAAATAGAGTTTTATAATTATGAACATAGGGTTTTGTAATTATGAACATAGAGTTCTGTAATTGTAAATATAGAGTTCAATAACTATAAATATGATGTTCAAAAATTATGAACATAGAATTTTATAATTATGAATATAAAACCGTATCCACCTTGCAAGGTGGACATGGTTCCACGGCATAACAACTGCGAGAGAAAGGGATGTTTCAAAATAAAGATATATTTTATATATTAAATATACATTTAATATATTAAAAATGTATCTTCTTATTCTTTTTTTTAGTACTATTGACTCTATTACAAGGTAGTATTTGTTATATACTTTCTCTAACTACTACAAGCTCAAAGAGTCAACACCCCACCACCGGATTCGATCCTGTGACTTTCCCTCAAGGAGAGTCACAGAAATATCCGTGCTTGGCAAAAAAATCTCATATTCATATATAGATATTAATTAGTTGCCAATTTCTCAAAAATCAAAAACCACTCTAAAGATTTTGTGCTTCATAAATAAATAACGAACAACTACAAGAGACTGTTTAAAATAGCAATTAGCTCATTTTATGGGATAGAATTATAGAAAAATAGATCAAACGTGTCCACTACTTCCAGTACCAAAACAGGTTCTTCTTTTCTTGAATTGTTTCAAGAATACATACTAATTCTCACAATGTCACAAATTAAACACCTGTACAGAAATGTGAGTTTAACGTTCCACAAAATGGGCACCTGACCATAGGCATTACAAAGCTAGTTCATAACGAGTATTTTAGATGAAGCCAGCAACAATAAATGCCTTGAATTGCAGCAGGATTAAAGCGGTGAAAGAAAAGCTGTGTAAGAATTACCATCGTACTTCAATCCCTTCAAAAAGGCAGATTGCAAGTGAGATGAATGTGTTGTATTTGGAACACCAAAACAAAGGATACCCTTTTCCAACCCCTCATTTGCAGATGCTTGTAGATCAGAACTTTCACCACCTACATTCGAACCAATATTCAACCCATTCGATGTTGGCTCCGTTACAAAACTGCATGGTTATGGTTTAAGGCATTAGCATATCAATGTTGTATGATTCTCACAAATATTTTTAGATAAGAGTTGTAATAAATTAGTTGTGAATAGAGCAAACAAGAGTCTGAAAAAGACTCCCAAATGAGATCCCAAATAATAATAATAATAAATCTGCTGTTGAGTTATTAACTGTCTATAATGATTGCTGATACAACATACCTTGCCTCAAAACTTGTTCCATGAGAACAAACAGCATAGCAAGTGTTGCTAATTATCCATGGTGGGAGATAACGATCCTTAATTTCAATGCTGTAACAGATACGAGGAGAATACCCCAGATTAGACTCTCCAGATCCACTAGACTCCTTTGATGGCAATGGCATGTGATCAATCCTCCTGACTTCCTTACATCTTACCTGCACAATTTAGAACAGAATCAATAGCCCATCTTGATATTCAAGAAAAGAATAGAACTTCAATAACACATTCATTGTTATTAGTATTTTAAAAGGCAAGGCTAGCAAGCTACAGTTATGTGATAATCTGTGACAAAGCTATTAGTCTATTACTGTCTAGAAGGCACAAATACCAAATTTAGGGTCCATGTTGTACTTGTCTTTAGACAGCAAAACTCTCAGGAGACTATCCAAACACATCTCAACAGGGATGTGGCTATTGGGTCAGATCAATCTCAAAAAGATATTTTTGGATACCAAAAGTTTAGATCTCATTTTCTGCCCCATCCAAAGACTGAACAAAAATATGGTCTTGATTTTCAGATCAAAAATTAAGGTGACTTTCAACTGGTTCAGAATTAAGAATCCAAAAATTTAAATTATAATTTTTGATAGATTAAAGACTCAGATAATAGCAATACTGTGTCACCAATCAGAATGTCAGTTGAGTTTTCAGAATGAGTTGCTGTGGTTGCAGTTACAGTGCTTTGTAAAGCATTAGTTTTGTCGCCAAAGAGTAGGGGATTTGGAACTCTTTGATCACAGATTGGGTAATAACTAAGCCTGGGCATTTCAGTTCGGTCTTAAACCGAAGTACCGATCGGTTATATATATATATATATATATATATATATATATATATATATATATATATATATATATATATATATATATATATATATATACATACTAATAACCTCAACTCCTCTTCAGACCTAACCCTAAAATCCTAAATTATTCGACAATCTACATTTCGACACTCCGCAGTCCGCCACCATGACGCAGTTCGCCACCTCACCTCCGCCCTCAACACTTGCCACCATGACGCAGTCCAGCACCACGCCTCCGCCCACCGCCCTCGACACTCGCCGCAGCCACCAGTCGCTGAAGGCCACCGGCAACCAAAGAGGTAATGTTTGCCACTTTGCCTTACTCTTTTATACTTTATAGTTTATACTTTATACATTTTCTTGTTTCAATTTCAATAATCTTGTCTTACTGATTTAGGAATTTTATTTATTTATTTAGTCTTAGTGTTCTGGAATTTGGTATTGTTGCGTTTGATTTCTTGGGGCTATTTTGTTCCACCACTGCACTGCACAGCCGTGTTTGTTTGGGGCTATTTCATTCCAGTTTAAACTGGAATGGAATTCCAGTGTAGTAACTGGAATTTCATTACAATGCTTTTGTTTTTTTTTCTTGAATATTTTGGTTAGAGGTGGACACTAACCGTCTAACCATTGGTATTCATTGGCTACTTATTAAGATGTATGATTCATCATCTTGTTATTAACATAACACTTCAAGTGACACTCCAAGTGAGTCAATTGAAGAGCCGGTCGGGCAAAAAAAGAAAACATTCAAACAGTGGACTTCCACCAAAACCGAACCGAACTAAATCTGAACCCAAACCGAGCCGAACTATAATGTTAAACCGAATGGTTTAATTTTTTTAAAACCAAAACCAAAAAAAAAAAAAAACAAACCGAAGACCGAAACGCCCACCCCTCATAACTGGACAGCCTGGCCATTTGCACCTCATCTATGTGACAAGAAATGGGTTTTACCTTTGTGGAATTGTGAGATTAAGAAAAGGGTTGAATGGAAATTGGGTTATCTTGAGAAATAGTCAGGCACTAAGTGAATTGTGTTTTAAGATAGAAGCACTGTACAGGGAAAGTGTAAAAGATAGTAAGAAAGAGAAATTATATGAGTACGTTTTGATTGAAATTTGACAAATAAAAGACTCCTATCTGGATTTCCCTGATTCTCCATACATCATTGAATTCAGCAACAGGAAAATTAATGTCTATTTCCATATTATGAAGCAGCTAGAGGAAAAGAAAATTGATTCAAATGAAAGTTATCTAAAACAGTCAAGAAATTGGCATAATAAATAAACCAACCTCAGGGGCTGAAAGAGCAGCATTTTCAAAAGGCAAAGGTGAATACAGCATGGGGACATCCATTCCAGTCAAAGAAGTTAAGAAATATCTGCAAACAGAAACCATCGGTAAGAAAATGATTAACATAGGAACATTAATTCCTTTTGCTAGAGATGAGGTATTATTTATATAAAAAAAAAAAAAATTAAAATTAAAAGAAAAGAAGAAGAGAGAGACACACCTGTAGTTTAACAGAAAATCGTACAACCCATGAACATTCTCATTTCCCATAAATGCCAATAGAGACTGAGGGCTGTTATCCACGTAAGCTAAAGTATCTGGGCGAGTAGTCTGTAATATTATCCCAATGGCACCATTTAATATTCTCAAAAGTGAATGAGAACAGCTTTAAGTTTGTACCAAATAATGTGGAGACATTGTTCCCATTGTACCCCGTACAAACCTATATATATATATATATATATATATATATATATATGGGATGGTTCACGTGCGAAACTTCTCTTAGGTGAAAAATGGGGTGAGATCTGAGCCATTGATCATTTGATCTAATCTAGATCAACGGCTCAAACTGAAGGAAATTTAAAAAAAAAAAAAAAAAAAAAAAAAAACGCGCTTCCTGGCATCATGGATGCAAATGATCAAGTGTCTCGAACTAACACACCTTAAGCTTCAAACTTATACACCTTAAACTTTAAACATACGCACCATAAGCTTTAAAGGTACACACCTTAAGTTATAAACTTACGCACCAGAAGCTATAAACTGCGCACTTTAAGTTTTAAACACATGCACCTTATAAACTTACGCACCTAAAGGTATAAACTTATGCACCTTAAGCTTTAAACATACACTTAAGCTATAAACTTACACACCTTAAGCTTTAAACTTAAGCCCCTTAAGCTTTAAACTTAGGCACCTCAAGCTATAAACTTATGCACCTTAAGCTTCAAACTTATACACCTTAAACTTTAAACATACGCACCTTAAGCTTTAAAGGTACGCACCTTAAGTTATAAACTTACGCACTTTAAGTTTTAAACACATGCACCTTAAGTTATAAACTTACGCACCTAAAGGTATAAACTTATGCACCTTAAGCTTTAAACATACGCACCTTAAGCTTTAAACATACGCTTAAGCTATAAACTTACGCACCTTAAGCTATAAACTTACACACCTTAAGCTATAAACTTACACACCTTAAGTTTTAAACTTAAGCCCCTTAAGCTTTAAACTTAGGCACCTCAAGCTATAAACTTACGCACCTAAAGGTATAAACTTATGCACCTTAAGCTTTAAACATACGCTTAAGCTATAAACTTACGCACCTTAAGCTTTAAACTTAAGCCCCTTAAGCTTTAAACTTATACACCTTAAGCTGGAAAATAATGCACCTTAAGCTCTAAAGGGACACCTTAAGAGTTAAACAAATGCACCTTAAACTTTAAACATACTTAAGTTGAACTTTAAATTTAGGCACCTAACGCAATAAACTTACGCACCTTAATCTATAAACTTATGCACCTTAAGCTTTGAACTTACACACCTTAAGCTTTAAACTTGCACACCTTACGCAAAATGACCATAAATCCATAATGCCACCGCATTAGTTTTAATTGTTCTTCATTTTGGGCTGTTGATTTTGGCAAGATCAAAGGTTGTGATTAATCTGCACGTTTCACCTGGGAGAAGCTTCGCACCTGATCCCTTGTCTCTCTCTCTCTCTCTCTCTCTCTCTCTCTCTATATATATATATATATATATATATATATATATATATATATATATATATATATATATATATATTTAAGGGTTGCATTAAGTACGAACAGGCACACAGGTGCAAACATATAATCACAAAAGTACACTCCCTATGATCTATAAAAGTGCACCACACAAAGCTACAAAGTACACCCATTCTTGAGTTCAAGTTGTTACATCCAACCAATAAGTTATATCTCATAGCAGGAGATATGAATACGAAAAACAGGGCATACCCACCACATTGATAATTTTGCATGTATCCAGTTTAAAACTTTCTGAGGGCAACATGACCTTAGGATAAAATTTTAAATATTACCAAGATAGCAATAATTGAACTTCTACATTACCCTTCAAAGCTAATTTTACAAGATTCAAAGGTATATTGCATAGCTAGACAAGTGATCCAAATGATTGTAAACATATTCAATGGTCCACAAGTATGTATAACGCTTTACCTTGCCCAGATTTTGCTTCTCAATCTCAGAAAGCTCAAATAAATCTTCCATACTAACTTCCTCCACCTTAGAATCACAAAGAGGCATAGAAAAACAAACATCCTGAAAACACAGGTGAATCCCAAATATGTGTAAGTTAAAAGGTTAGAAGGTATTCATTTTCCACATCATGAAGCAGACTTGAAAAGAGTACGGAGTATTAACTATCTTCCAGAAACACATTCTTAAAAGAGAATTCACAAAGACCTAATATAATAAAAGTAACAACTTACAAACCAGACTATTTTCTATTTTCACAGGTATCCAAAACTGTTAGTCTGTTACTGTACCAACATTAAAAAACAAAAAACTACATGCATATATTAGTTGTGTCCATGTAATAGAGACACACAGAGAGATCATACATGTTCTTTGAGCAGTGACCTCAAACCCCTTGTTGACTGAGATATAAAAGCATTGCAGACACGTTTGTTTTCCTTCAAACTACCAGAACCAGTAAACATGACCACAAACTGAGCAGTGCACACTGCATATTCAAAACAAAGTAGAATGCATAAGCAAAGAATCTTTTTTATTTTTATTTTTTTTGTATTTAAACCAAAAGAAAAGAGCCTTGGCTGTGAGATTCATTCAATATAAACTTAAAAAGGAAAGGATGGTCTAGATTTCAATGATCCCAAATTCTTACAAACACTTCCCATTCTTAGTAGGCTTTGTAAATTAACTACAGAATCCAGATCCAGAAAAGCCAAGTTTCAATATTTGATTCAAGTAAAGAAGAATATCTATTGCAAGTACGCATCTAAGCACGCACATACTCAAGCTTAAAGGAAAGAGAAAAGGAAAAGGAACTTATGACAGCTGCATAGTTTCAGTCCCAATTTCATCTAACCAAATGTAGTAAAAGGGGAAAATGCACATAGGAAGAAGAGGTATGATAGGTGATACATGGAAATCAAGTTTCATAACTTGTATAAACATAAATTGGCCAAAGAAAAACAGTGAGAACTATGTCACTCAAATTACTACTGCAGAAGCAAACAAATAGTACCATAGAAAATGTTACACTTGTTCTTGCGAAGCATATAATAAAGACTTCTGAATGAGTCTTCCCATGCTTGCTGCCTTTTGCTCAGGAAGTCCATTTGCCCTTAATCAATAAAAAACAAGGCACAATTAAGAGAATGCAAACAAAAATCAATAGCAGAAAATGGTAACATCAATAAATCATTTATTTCAATCACCTTCCAGTGACGCAACTAAAGTTAATGCTGATATAACTGAAGGAGGCAGAGGAGACTGAGGGTACACCCATGAATGTAAAACCAATGGGTTAAGAACTTGATTAGTGGAGTCCAGTTCTGATGGGGTCATATTCTGACTTGAACAAACAGATGGTGCATACTGTGACAAACTGTTGATTGATCCGCAACTAACCAACCTATGAAACCTAATGAAGCATACACAAGATCATATATCAATATAGAGACAGAAGATACAATAAATCTCCTAAACAGCATCTCAAGTTCTCACTACAACAGTGGAAAAAACTATTTGTACAGGTTGACATTATACTATCTACCCTCGAATAATTTGAACACAGTATTTAACACATAGTTATAGATAATGGCATAATGCCATGACAATAATTTGTTCACTCACCAACTGACAGAAGTTGAAGACACAATTCGCATAGTAGTTTTCAATGTCAAATCTAGAGGGGTCTTCTTGCATGGAACATGAAACTCTGAGCAGAAGTTTTTTGCTCCATGATCATCTATGTTCTTGGAAGGCTCAGAACATGAGTTTGATGCAACAATCGGTTCATGGGCAACCAATCCCTTTAAAGCTTCATCCTACCATTACAAAACAGATATGCAGTTTTATTTTTGTTGGAGAAATAACTCAAAATCAGCAGGAGAGAAGGAAAACAAGTTCAGGACACATACTATGTCCACAGTAGGCAAGCCAGATAACTTTTCATTACCCAATGACAGCTCTGCGACACTACGAAAAGTACTTCCACTACACTTGTCAGCCGTGCTGAATGTTTGGGCTGCTTGTTCTCTGTAGACAATAGTTGATGAGAGAGAATTATAGAGACTTGGCAAAATAATGTATGATAAACCATGAAATCATGTCACCAGCCTATTTTAATTTTACCGTGGAATTTGCAATTGGCTCTGAGCAGCAAATTGTGTTGAAACAGGACTTTCATGGCTGCCACTGTTCTTGGTAGGAATACAATCCTGCCAGTGAATAGATACAGCATCAAGTTCACTTTAGTATTAATATTGAATGACATTAGACATTAAAATATAATGAGGCCCGAAAAAAAAAAAAAAAAAAAAAAAAAAGGCGCAGGTGCACAATTATTGATAAAGGTGAGTTACACAACGTGTTCCCTTCTTTTGAAAAAGGACTAAAGGAGTCAGTCTATCCACACAACTATAGTGAAATATTAGCATGTATATGAATGGTACACATTATAGCAAAGCTTTCATGATTTGGTAAAAAGAGGTAGGGATAAAGACAGGTTTTGAGTGTCTCAGGAAACCTCCAAGGTTTTCTAATATCTAAGACTCTAAGTACAAATACAATGTAGTATTATATCAAAGAAAGCCATTAAACATACACACACCAAAACCAGACTTTTTCAACCCTAGAAAACCCAAGAGTTATTGTTTCTTTTCTGAAATAGATTGCTAAACACTAAGTATGGGTTGCTTGAAGCATGGAATTTTGAGGTCACATATTCTAGGGTTTGCAGATTGTCAACTTTCAGTTCATCTATATTATGAAAATTCCTCTGCTTAGCTTGATACTCTTAAAAATTTATACTGCAAGAAGAGTAATTCCATGGAAAGTATTACAAATGTGAGCAATCACTTGGATTAGGCAGATGGAAAACTAATAACGCAATCAAAATGTAGGGAAGAACCTTGGAATCATCTTTTTTGGAGAGCAACCTCAGTTTAATGCTGTTCTTTCTTACAGGATATAGTTCATTCATCCGAGTATTAATATATCTTGGATTTTTTTGTAAATCAGCATTCTTGGATCCAGGAATGACCCAATCATTATTCCTACAAACAATAAACAAACATCACAATAGTATTATTAAATAATACTCTGTATATAAATAAATGAATAAAATTTTACCTTGCATGGTCAATAACTGAATCTGGAGATTCATCTACAAGTTCCTTAATATTCTTTCGCTTCAGCTGCTCTCCCTGTCATACACAAATAACCTATGAGGCATTTTCTAAGTCACATTTTGTCATCATTATTTACTATGTAGCTTATGCTTTATATACTTAATTCTTACAACTATGGGAAAACATTTCAACTGCTTACACTGTTTGAAGTTACATAGTAAATGTTCACAACCAAGTATGAACTTACACACACAGTGGAATATATCTAGACATGGCAAAGCAAATTTGTTATACTCAAAACTTCAACAAAGGCAACTTTTCCTTTTCTTTTTCTTTTTCATTTCCTTTTTGAATCCTTACCAATTATGAAATCAACAAAAAGGTTATTTATAATTACCCCATGTAGCTTAAGAAACAAAAAAAATAATGCCTCAATGTGTTATGCCAAAGACCCAAGCAAAAGTTGGCAATTTTAAGGGGGGAAATAGCATCTTTGGATTAAATTAGTTGTTCATCTCTGTTAACTCTATTCATTTTAAGTCAGTGAGCCATAGCATTGCTGCAATGCTACTAATTTTAGGCACTTCATTTAACAAGCACACCAGCTTTAAAGCCAAAGCATACATTTAGCATACAAATGTCAGAATCATACTAAATAAGGGGAAAGAAAAGGGAAATCGCAATATGTTGGATCAACGAGATAAAAGCAAAGAACTTTTTACAGTTTTCTTTGGTGGGGTGTATAGTTTTACCCGTAGCTCGGATGGAGTTTTCCTTTTCAAGGTGGTGGTGGTGATCTTTGTACCGCCGCCAACCCCGGCGCCGAAACCGAGAGAACCCAATGGATGTATCCGTCCGGCAGCAGCAACCATCGTTTTCCTATATTCCTCAATAAGTAAATAAACAGCTTCGCCGCTTCAACTCCCCACCTCGCTCCGTCCTCTATGCAGAAAGCCAATTCCAGACAACACCAGCGGTAAATAAATAAATAATACTGACCGATTGGAAATGTAGCGGATTGAGATTTAGGTCTCATTTTTCAGTTTCTATTAAAATTACCTCCGTATCGATCGAAAACCACAGCGCCCTAGTATGTCTTGAAAACCTAGAGACCTGGAGAGCATACGAAGTCGGAAGTTCCAGCTTTGCCGGGTGGGGGGGGGGGGGAGGTTGTGAAAACTGAAGGGCGGGAATGCGGGATTGAAGATATGGAGTGGGAGTCTGGGGGCTTTGGGATTTCAAAGAATTCAATTTCCCTCGCAACTCTGCAGTCTGTATCGATCGGATCATTTTTACGACCCGATTGGAAAGTGGATGTCTCCAATTTTCATTTCCCCCTCAAAGTTTAAGATAAATTATATTTTTGTTTTTAAACAAATTTTACTTTTAATCCTCGACTATTTTTATATATCACATTTAGTCTTTTTCTTTTTTTTTTTTTTGAAAATCATTTAGTCTTTTTCTTAATAGAAGTAATGTTCAAATAGGTTATCAAACTACACACCAGGACTATGTGGTCTAATGGTATCCGGGTTGGACTTCCATTTGGAAGATTATGAGTTCGAGCCTCAGTGGAGGCGTTATTGGTTCTTTGTGTTTCAGTAGGTGATTAAATCACAATTGACATGTTTATCCGATTACCACTATTGGACTTGCAAAGTTCTTGACCGATAATCTCTTAATGTGAAGGAAATCGAGATAGATGTGCAAAGCATTAATACGATTGGAGCTTTGAGTCATTATGACTTCCTTTGTAGCTTTGATACAATTATGTATATATGAGTGAAGAAATTGTGGCAAAGAAGTTTATCGCTGGCAAATTCATAAACTATAAAATTGTGGTTTCTGAAATCGTGTTAAGTTAGGTTGAAGAAATAAGTGAAGTCCAAGTTTTTCATTGTAAGTGAAGTCTTCCAAGTTGGAGTTATTATTCACTTGTTGTCTATGGTGTGAGAGGATTAGAGGACTTCAAAAATTACCTGAAGCATAAGTGCAAGGAGGTGAATTTGGAATAGTTGATCATTTGACTTAGGATAGAGGATGACAATAGGAAGTGATATGAATTTTTTCATCTATGTTATCACTAAGGCCAACATTGTGAAACACAATAAAAACTCAAAATAAAAAAAAAATTAAAAAAAATCTCAATATGCAAGCATAAACTGTGACACCCCGGAAATTTACCCCTTAAACGGAATTAATTATTTAATTAATTCTAAACTTGCCTTGCCAATTCCTTCCTAATCCTTTATTTAAATAGTCGAAGGACCTAAATTGACTAGATTCTTTAGTCAATGAATTGTGCATTGTGCCTTACGCCTTGTACTTAGCCTTAATTTCTTCCTAACAATTTTGTAGACAAGGGAGGTTATTCTACTATTTTCACAACCCTTACTTGATATCCAAGATATTTTCCCCAACACACCACTATTTTCTTCTCACACTAGGCAAGAACTTCATTTCTCCACCTCCTCTCTAAAAATCTTAGCTTCTTCCCCAAGCCAAACCAAAACCTCTCCCCAACCTTGCCAAGAACCCTTCAAGATTCCAACTTTCTTCCACCAAGACCTTAGAATGGTAAGGTCTAAGATTGGCTAGTGTTTTTATCTAGTTTTTCCTTGCCTTTATCTAAGTTTTGGTTGTTTGTGTGGTTTTTGGTTTGTTTTTGGAATACCTTGTGGAAGAAGAGTTTCAAGAAGAAGAAAAGGAGGTTGAGAAGGTGTTTCTAGGCTTAAGGAGGTAACTCATGTTCTACAAAACTTATTTTACACTTGATATTATGGATTTCTTGTTATTCTTGATGTTCATGAGTAAAATGATGCATAATCTTGTGTTTGTGCATGTTTAGAGCTTGTATATAGGGTTCATAAATGTTATTCTTTGAGTTTTTCATGTGATCAAGTTCCCTTATTGTTGTATGTGAGATTTTGGTATTTTGGACTTGTTGGCAATTTTCCCTGAAGGGATTTTTCTCTCCCAGGTGTTGCACCCGCGGGCGGAATAGCGGGTGGAGAGCCTACCGTCGTTCCACCCGCAGGGAACGTGGTGTTGGTGGCGGAGGGAGCCACTGGTACAAGTGTAGGGGGTGGCGGGTGGTTGACCACCCACCGTTCCGCCCACTGGTACGTTGTGTTTTGGCCTCCATTTTGTTGAATCCTTGTGCAATTGTGTGTCTCCTTTGATGTTTCGTACGTCTAGAACAGTTTCCTAAGTAATCTTGATAGGCTTATGAGTCTTGAATCATGTTTAAGGTCCAACTTTGTGATTCGTTGGATTAATGTGAAGTTATTGATGTTCGTTTGAACCGTTATGTCTATCCTATTGATGTGCATGCTAGTTATGATGTTGTTGATGCTAGTATGTGTTCGCTCATTCGTTCTCAATGAAGATTGGTAACTTGTATTCACCAATCATTGTAATCTTTGGATTGAAGCCTATCATTGTTGTGTCATTGTATTGAATGTTCTTTCCATGTCCTTCCTTGAAGTATCTCGATTGAATCTCTTGTTGTGATCTTGTACATATGTTGTACTCTATTGTTGATCCTTGATAGGGATATTGATGAGCCTCAATCCTCTATGTCAATGACTATGTGATTGTTATGAGATTGGTGGTAATGAGCTTTGCTCACTTGATTGGCGGTATACTATCACATGATTAGTACTATATTATTAGCGACATTGCGATGTCTATGAGATCGGTGGCAAGCTGGCGGATGCAGGCGAGGAGCAATAGCTCCAAGAGGGAAAAATGTTGGACTTGGCGTATAGGGTGTCACTTGGAGGTACAGGTTGGTTGGAATGGTGATATAAGGTTGGAACCGGGTATAAGGTTGGAACTAGTCATTGGTTGCGATCTTTGACTTCCATTTGCTTATGAGTATGTATTGTTGTTGTCTCTTGATTGATATTGCTTATTGCATCATGTTGATTATTCGGTTGTCCTTGTCATTCATGTTGAACTCTTGAATAACCGTATGATGTTTGGTCAATTGATTGAGAGTGATTATGATGAGTCTTATGTTGTTTCTATTCCTCATTTTAAAATACTATATATTATGTATTCCATGTCTCAAAATGATTTTCCTATATCTATACTATATTGTATTCCACGCGTGGTAGTGAGTTACTTAGCAGTATTCGCTAACGGGTGCTACCCTTATGTTTTACAGCTACAGAGTAGTTCCCTCAAGCGCGCTAGAAGATGTCGTAGATTAGCGTAGCTATCTCCCCTTTCTACCCTAGTCTAGTTTTGTGGCCTGTGTGCCTTTAATTTTGTACTCGCGAACTTAAAGTTATTGTATCATTGTTGTGTCATTGTATTGAATGTTCTTTCCATGTCCTTCCTTGAAGTATCTCGATTGAATCTCTTGTTGTGATCTTGTACATATGTTGTACTCTATTGTTGATCCTTGATAGGGATATTGATGAGCCTCAATCCTCTATGTCAATGACTATGTGATTGTTATGAGATTGGTGGTAATGAGCTTTGCTCACTTGATTGGCGGTATACTATCACATGATTAGTACTATATTATTAACGACATTGCGATGTCTATGAGATCGGTGGCAAGCTGGCGGATGCAGGCGAGGAGCAATAGCTCCAGGAGGGAAAAATGTTGGACTTGGCGTATAGGGTGTCACTTGGAGGTACAGGTTGGTTGGAATGGTGATATAAGGTTGGAACCGGGTATAAGGTTGGAACTAGTCATTGGTTGCGATCTTTGACTTCCATTTGCTTATGAGTATGTATTGTTGTTGTCTCTTGATTGATATTGCTTATTGCATCATGTTGATTATTCGGTTGTCCTTGTCATTCATGTTGAACTCTTGAATAACCGTATGATGTTTGGTCAATTGATTGAGAGTGATTATGATGAGTCTTATGTTGTTTCTATTCCTCATTTTAAAATACTATATATTATGTATTCCATGTCTCAAAATGATTTTCCTATATCTATACTATATTGTATTCCACGCGTGGTAGTGAGTTACTTAGCAGTATTCGCTAACGGGTGCTACCCTTATGTTTTACAGCTACAGAGTAGTTCCCTCAAGCGCGCTAGAAGATGTCGTAGATTAGCGTAGCTATCTCCCCTTTCTACCCTAGTCTAGTTTTGTGGCCTATGTGCCTTTAATTTTGTACTCGCGAACTTAAAGTTATGATTTGGATAATTAAGTATTTGACTTTTTAGCCTGTGCATCTAGCCCCGTAGTTAGATGTGGCGTGACACTTCCCGATTGACAAGTTTAGCTTCCACACTCTTTATTTCTTAATGACTAGTTAATCTTTATCTTTAAGCTGTAATTGCTTAGTTTATCATGCTTAAATTCGGAGGTGTTACATAAACTTGGTAGTGAAGTTTCAACCAAGCAATTCCACCCTAATAATAATAATAATAATAATAATAATAATAATAATAATAATAATAATAAAAAATTGGCATGATAGACCAAAGTCATTACAAGGCAACAAATACAAAATAAGTCTTCTTAAAATAACATGGGGGATGCCAGTATGAATGAGTTTAAAATCATTATCTTGGATATGAGTTTTAGCATTTTAGGTAAACATGATCAAGTTGAACTTGAAGAGTGATTTATTGACACTAATGCAACCCGACATATACTCCTATCGTGAGTTGTTCAGTACATTTGAGATTACCAATGGTGAAAATGTATGGATGGACATTCTGCACACTATAATATTAAATGTGTGGGTAATGTGATTCTAAACATAACCTCCAAGAAAACTTGAATTTGAACAATATTTTGTACGTGTCAGGAAATGCATAAGAACCTAATAATGGGATCGTTATTAAACAAGCATGCCTTATGGATGGTGTTTGAGCATGATAAAATAGTTTTCTCTAAAATTGGAATTTATGTACGCAAATGCTATGTACTTGATGAGTTATTTAAGTTGAATGTAATAACTGTTATTTATAAAAATATTAACAAATGTTATGTTTACTCGCTTGAGTCTTCTATTTTATGGCATAATAGATTATGTCATGTTAATTTGAATTGTATAGGTAGACTAATAAACATACACAATACCCTTATATTCAAAACTAACGTTAATAACAAATGTACTGTAAAGTTTGTGTCGATGCAAAACTAACAATAGCTCATTTTGAATCAATTAAAATGGAAATGAAACTACCTGAATTAATTCGCAGATGTATATGATTATAAATTGATACAAACATGATACTGTAATAAATATTTTATTACATTTATTGACGATATCACATGATATTGATATGTGAATTTGCGAAAAAGTACAGACGAAGTTGTTGATTAATAAATTCTTTATAAGAATTAAGTGGGAACCCAACTTAAATGAAATTAAGGCAATTATAAATGGTCGATGGGGCGAGTATAAAACACCTATTGGTGATTATCGTGCAACACAATATGGTACATCAACATATTGTGTTGGTCTAAGCACCGCCGACCGCGGAGGAGGCCGATTCCGGCCTTCCTCGACGCGACCAGGTGCCGCCTAGCGCCTAGGCGCGATTTTTGAAACACTGCATATTATATAAAATGGCTCCAAATCCACGAGTGACTATGTGTTTATGTTGTTTACCATTGTACATATTAATATGCACCCTTCCAATGCAATCATATAATTATCATTAAACAACATTTAACAACGAGGGTTATCTCAGTTAACTACGTGAAACCAAAATATAACATAAATGATTTGATAACTAAAGTGTTAAGTAGAGAGTTGGTGAATAAGTTTATCGCGGTGGAAGATACTAAAGCCTTTGAATAAAAGCTTTAGAGTGGATACCCAACCTAGTTGACACATAGGTTAAAAAAATGATAACTAAATTATAGAATGAGTTGTGGTATATATTGTGGGACTTTTGAACTCATATCCACTACTTGTTGAAACAATGACTTTTGCATGAGGTTAACATGTATACATGCTTTAATTATTATAAAGTGTCGGTAAACATAAATGGAGTATGTGAGACACTTGAAAAATGAATCATCTATGTATGAGAAATGGGGTTGCATCAAATGAGATTTGTATGAGTTCAATGAGAAATGGGGTTGCATCAAATGAGATTTGTATGATTTCAATTCTTTACAAACTCGCGCAAAAACAAACAAGATATTCCATAATAATCAAATGGACAAACCCATTAAAACTAAATAGAGGTTGAGATGTCCCTGTGTAAGATATATCGTCTTCTACACAAATGATAGTACAATTCAAAGACATCGTGTTCCACTATTTTGTCAGTAAACTAAACATATCTTATACAAGGATCATCCATTGAACATGGTTGTGTCTCTTTACAGTTCTAAAAATCACTCCCTCTGTCCAATTTTATGTGTATGATTCGGTTAACGATGCTTGACTGAAGTTATTTTTAATTCAATTTTTTATAATATTAAGTTTAGTATTAATATACGAAATTTATATATTAAACTACACTAAAAGTTATAATAAACACACAAAAAAATCAAATTTAAAAATTCGTAAAAATAATAAAGAAAATAAACTCGTGTTGTTAAATTGTAATAAATAATAATAAAGAATAAAAAATTGCTTTGATCAATAAATTGTAAGTATGACAGATAAAATGGGACAATAGAAATGGTATTGTCCTAGAATTATACTAGTAACTCCTAAAATTGGTAAAATTAGTTTAAAATGGTATATAAGTGATCATACACTTAAAATGGATAATAGGTGAATAAAAAATTGATTCTCAAATGTACCTATTGAAAGACTCTTTTTCGCGTATATGTGAGGATTGCAAATTAAATCAAATCTCAAAATGAGTTCTGAAAGCTTAAACTCGTGTGCACACGCAACTCAGGCACGCCGAATGTTCGTATGAAGTTATGATCTTTCAAAATAGTAATATATCTATCGATTTGTAACTTCTTTTGCTTTGCAATATGCTGGAATTAACTATGGGTAATTAATTCTCGTAAATTTTAGGAGTTATAATATTTAACTTCAATTTTTAATTTGATAATTTAATTTGTAATAACAATTGTAACCTCAAGTGTTATTTCAAATTAAAGTGGGGTTACAGTTTTAAATTTTAAATTAAACGTCATTAGAGCTAATTACTTTAAGCTCTCTTATAAATAGCAAGTTGGCATAAAGATTTTAGCACACCAAAATTATCATTTTTCTCTCCCATACTACTATCAACTTCTACTTTCTCTAAATTTTGTGAACTATTCCACTCAAACTTAAGAGTGTTATACCTTTGCTCAAGTTCGTTGACTTGTTTATTTGAATGCTCGAATAGACACTTGTAATCCATTGTATCCTAGGGAGCTGGCATTTCAATGCTATTACTAACATTGGGAAGAAATGAATCGATTTAAAAGAAAGTATGAGCGACACGCGAAATGGATTAAGAGTAAATATCATTTTTGATTCCTTGAATATCATAAGTGAAGCATATTTGGCTCTTGACTATTACTTTTTTCAAATTAGGTGCATGACTTGCTAACTAGTATCAGTTTTGATCTCCCAATCCAATTTTCTGGTCATATATTACAGGAATTTCAACGGGGAAAATAATATGTTATAATTAGAAGGGCATTTTGGTCCTTTCAAATTTATTTTATTTTCCTCTTCTATTTTTTTCTTGTTCCCCTTTCTTCTTCTGCGATCCGTTTCTATTTCTCACAAACCGTAAACGATTTGGGATGGTCATTTGGAGTGACGGCGGCGGTGGGGGATCCTTGCGTCCAGGAAACGGTAAGTGGCGGTGGTGCATTTGCTTAAGAAGAGCTTTCTGAAGAAGCTTCTGCCTGTCTCTAGCCTTATGGTTCTGGAACCGGTAAAACACATTATTCCCCTCGATCTTTCTGTACAACGAGAGGTGGGTGGTGATGGTCCTCACCTGAGATGAGTTCGGATCCCTCAACTCGAAATAGAAGCCTAGATATTCTTTTACGGTGTGTGAGAAATAAAAACGGATAGCTGAGGAAGAAAGGGGAAGAAGAAAAAAGTAAAAGAGGAAAATAAAATAAATTTGAAAGGATCAAAATGTCCTTCTAATTATAACATAATATTTTTTTGGTTGAAATTCCGGTAATTTATGGCCGAAAAATTGGACCAAAAGACCAAAACTGATACTAATTAAAAAGTCATGCACCTAATTTGAAAAAAAAAAAAAAAACAATAGTCAAAGACTAAATGTGCTTCACTTATGACAGTCAAGGGACCAAAATACATACATTAACTTGATACCAAAATACAAAATTAGTCATTCATATTCATCAACCATCCCGTATCATCAAACCGGCTTGTATAACCAAATCAAAATGTTGCTCTAAGTACGTAACATTTTTATGTAGAGCGTTTTTATATTAAAAAATGTGAATAGAAATTGGTATTTACTATTTTTAAAGTTATTTAACTTGATTAAAAAAAAACAATTGCCAAATTCGCTAACTTTTTATCAAAACACTTTTACCAAAAAAGTCTATTTCATTATAATTGTTAAAAAATTGTTCTTTCTAATAATTTTGAACATAGCATAATACTTAAATGGTTATAATCACAATAGTGATACAATTGTTGTTGTTAGGTTATTAGTTAAAAAGTAATAATTTAGAAGTATTAAAATGTGTAATAACTTTTTTTTTCACCTCTTACTGTTTTTAGAAGTTATTTTAATTGTTTATATAAAATAATAAATATTATTAATTTATTTATAATATACTAATATAAATTCCTTAAAAAAAACATAAATTAATAGCAATTTAAAAAATCACATTATAATGTTACATAATAATATTTATGAACTTGAAAAACATTTGCATGTATTATGTCATTTGAACTGCACTGCTTATTTTTCACAATTCAATCAATTATTATTTTTTTATCTCCTATTATATATATTACTATACTTTCTCTCAAAATTTCTTAATGTTTTTTAATTTAATTATCAGTTTGTTTTAATTTATTTTCAATGAGAGTCAGTAATTTATTTCCAATGATATAAAAGAAATAAAATTATCATCAACTTGTTAAGTTCGAATAGAGAAGTAAATTTTCATATTCTAATATGTTTTAAATTAGTATTAAGATTTAGTAATTTATTAATATAATTTTTTAAAATTTAAAAGGAAAATAATATAAAGCAAAATTAGATACCCCCCCCCCCCCCAAAAAAAAAAAAAAAAAAAAAAAGCTACGTCTCCATGCATGCAAGGTTGCAATGTATAACGATAATAGCTACCCAAACAATCCATTTCCAACCTATTTGATCCACTCATCTTCTCCCTCTGTTCAACTCTCCCGCTTGTTTGCCACGCGTTCTTGAATTTCCCCAATTTTCTAATTGAAATCTATTATTTCTTTCTTTGTAGTTTCGTGCATTTTTTTTTGTTTGCTGGTATTAACTGGGTTTATCTCAATTTTTTGGATCGATGGTTAAATTTATTGCGAAATCCATCAATTTTCTACATTTGAAATCCAGAGAACAAATCAGCGTTTCGGATTATTGTTTGAGTTGCGCCCTTAATTCATGGCAAGATTTGCACGACTTCGGCTCAATTGGAGCTTCCGGGTCTAAACGGGGTAACAGTTTGGCATTTTTTGAAGGTTGTTGTTGTTGAATCCAATCGTACAGAGAATGATTGGGATGGGATCATGGAGGGCGTATCTGGGTGGTTGTGAAATTCAGGAAAGACAGGAGCTTTGAGGTTTAATTTTGTTTGATTTTAGGTTTTAATGGGGAACACATGCGCAGGGCCGAAATCGGGGAACAATGGGTTCTTGCAATCCGTTTCCGCGGCGGTTTGGAAACCCAATGAACCCCTCGATGGCGATGGCGATGGCGATTGCGATTCTTCCGGAACCACCGCCCCCGCGCCGCTGAAAATCGCCGGCGAGGACAATAAGCGTATGAAGAAAGTGGCGAGTGCTGGGCTTCAAGTCGAATCGGTTCTAGGGCGAAAAGCGGCGAATATAAAGGACACCTACGTTATAGGGAGGAAGCTGGGGCAAGGGCAATTTGGGACAACATTTCTGTGTATGGAGAAGGCCACTAAGAAGGAGTTTGCCTGCAAAACCATTGCCAAGAGGAAGCTAACCACTGAGGAGGATGTGGAGGATGTTAGGAGGGAGCTTCATATAATGCACCACTTGGCAGACCATCCCAATGTGATACAAATCATGGGAGCTTATGAAGATGCTGTTGCAGTTCATCTTGTGATGGAGGTTTGTTCGGGTGGAGAGCTTTTTGAGAGGATTATACAGAGAGGGCATTATACAGAGAGGAAGGCTGCTCAGCTTGCTAGGGTAATTATAGGTGTTGTAGAAGCATGCCATTCTTTAGGAGTTATGCATAGGGACTTGAAGCCTGAGAACTTTCTTTTTATCAGTGGGGGAGAGGAGGCGCCACTCAAGACCATTGATTTTGGCCTCTCAGTGTTCTTCAAGCCAGGTATATTATATATAGTACTGTATATTATAATGCTTAGCTTTCCCTTATTAATTTCAGATAGATGCAGATAATTCATAATTGTTTGTGAGTGAGTGAGAAGAACTTTAGAGGAAGGAAAGTTGAGTGATTATTGAGGATGTTTGTGATTATTGAGACATTTAATGAGACTAGAAAGCTTATTATTAGGAGCAGTAAGCAAAACTCAGATGCCTAATCAACAATGTTTTATTAACTCAGGCGAAATATTCACTGAAATAGTTGGGAGCCCTTATTATGTAGCCCCAGAGGTCTTGCGGAAGCAATACGGGCAAGCTTGTGATATTTGGAGTGCTGGAGTTATTATTTATATTTTGCTAAGCGGGGTGCCACCATTTTGGGATGGTAGGTAGACTGTTGTTTTAGACATTGTTTATTTATTATTATTGTTTCTACATACTTTATACATACCAATTCTGATTAGTAATATCCACTTGCATATGCATCAGAAACGGAGCAAGGAATATTTGAACAGGTTTTGAAAGGGGATCTGGATTTTGTATCTGAACCTTGGCCAAGTATATCAGATAGTGCAAAAGACCTTGTCAAAAGAATGCTAATTAGAGACCCCAAAAGGCGCCCAACAGCCCATGAAATCCTTTGTAAGTGTGTGCTATTCTATATTCTGAGATTTTGTGCTGCTACACTATTTATGTACTTCTAGATGTTCAGTGATGATGCATTTCTTTTCTTCTGAGTTAAGGCTCCATTTCTACTTTTTGCCTTATTCGACCTTGTGTTTTCATATTCTTGGACTTAGTTTGCCTTTCCTTCTTTGTTTTCTCTGTACATTTCCAGAAAATATGTCGATAAAATTTGAGCTTCCATTGGAAAGAGAATTGTGGTGTATAATTTATGGGTACATTATAGTATGTCATTTTCGGAATTAGACCAGTATATACATATATGCATTTGAGCACTCTGTATAAAATGTGGGAGTAAGTAGTTGAGATTACAACCACACTTAATTTTTTTCGTAAATCTTAAAGCTCAGGCATGATGAAAGACAACAATGCAAATGAATATCTCCATTTAATCTCTCGAGAATGCATGTATTTGATTGAGGTGAGTGGATACTGGCTTTTTTGCAGGCCACCCTTGGGTGCGAGTTGGCGGTGTAGCTCCAGATAAACCTCTAGATTCTGCTGTTCTGAGTCGACTCAAGCAATTTTCTGCGATGAACAAACTGAAAAAGATAGCCGTCAGGGTAGGCTTTTGAAATTCTTTGAATATTCAATCAACTATTGCGCTAGAATATCAGCATTAGTAAAAAATAAGCATACGTGCCTGCAGTGATGTTATTTTCACTATGTTTAAGAAAAATATGCTGAATAATTATGTTTAAGAACAAAGATTGTGTAAGTCAATCATTGTGAAAACTCGGGATTTTTTTTGGTATATAGTGTTCTCAAGTTCTTCTTCCCTGTCCATTTCTAGGTTATTGCCGAGACTCTATCTGAAGAGGAAATAGCAGGACTGAAGGAAATGTTCAAAATGATAGACACAGACAACAGTGGACAAATTACGCTCGAGGAGCTTAAAAAGGGCTTGGAAAGAGCAGGCGCCAATTTGAAGGACTCGGAAATATATAGTTTACTGCAAGCTGTAAGTGCAACTCCACAAGAGCTCTATTTCTTGAATAGCACAATTCCATAAACAACGCTAAAATTTGAGCTTTTTTTTGTTTTGTTTTGGAGAGACTGGTTTCCTCCGTTCTTCCTGCCTGGACAAATGGATTGACCAAAAATTTTAGCAAACGCTGATGTGGGGTGTTGCTATTAGCTGATTCAAGAGAGACTCCTCCTGAATCGGCTAATGAAAACATGTCACGTTAGCTGTTCATATCCAACCTATTTTAGTACCTTTTTTTTCCGTTTTCTTTTCCCAATCACCTGTTGCGGAGCCTAATGGCCAAGAACGATACATTTCTGGAAAGAAGGAATTGGTTATTTGTTAATGAATATATGCTGTTGTGTGACAGAACTTGTAAGTTTTTAACTAGGAGCCCTTTGAGGATCTTTGTTTTTCATTAGAGTTAATGAAATATGATTGTCTGTTTTTGGGAGAATACAGGCAGATACTGACAACAGTGGTACCATTGACTATGGAGAATTCATAGCAGCCATGCTCCATCTGAGCAAAATCCAGAAAGAGGATCACATGTTTACTGCGTTTTCCTATTTTGACAAAGATGGAAGTGGATACATTACACAAGACGAGCTTCAACAAGCGTGCGAAAAGTTTGGTTTGAGCGACGCCCCCATTGAAGAAATTTTAAACGAAGTTGATCAGGATCACGTACGTATGCTCTGCTTACACTGTTGCAAAAATCGCGCCTAGGCGCCGATTAATCGGCACCCAGCCTCCTAGGCGCCCTAAGCACCCGGCTAGGCGGTCCCCAGGCGCCTAACGATTTTTTCAACATTGTCTGCTTATCACACTGCATCCTCCTGTATATTGCAACATATATGAACTGCTTTCTTTCCCACTTTTTTTTTTTTTTTTTTTTTTTTTTTTTTTTTTGTGTGCAGGATGGGCGCATAGATTATAGCGAGTTTGTAGCCATGATGCGAGATACAGGTTATGCTGCGAAGGGATTACCGAATAGTGTACAACAGCCGGCTTTGCCCCGGATAAAAACATCATAGTTTGTCTTAACTATACTGATGTTAATGTAAGTGAGCAGCAGGATATATATATATTTTCACTGCAGCTTATGTTTGTAAAGATTAGGCTAGTACAGTCAGGCATCTTGGAGAAGGGTAGATTGTTGTTCCTTATAGTGTTCCCACTTCTGTAACTGCAATTCATTTAACAAGCTGTTTCTCTATCTAGGGATTGTTTTCATAAATTATTGTAACAACATTTTTTTTTTTTGGTTGGTTTTGTATCCTACTTGAATTCTAATATCTCATTAATTGAGTGCTTTGGTTGTTCTTATTTTTGTTGGTTTGTACTTTTGTAATGATTGTTACTCAATTTGTAAGGTTGAAATTTAAAATTCGATACTTATAAGAATTACTTTTTTTTTTTTTTTTTTTTTTTTTTTTTTTTTTTTTTTTGTGAAAAAACCACACTCTTAAGTTACGGATATTAGTAAGAATGAAACTCGTGATCTTCAGGTATTTTGAGATTGGTTTACATTTGATGCTAGCTGAGGTGCTAACTCTGAATATGGTACTACATCTGGTTCGTCAATATGTCCACCTTCTTATATGTACGTGCTAATGTCATCAGCTCCAAAGTATAGGTGTCATTAAAGAATGGTTTAAGCTTCTCCGTCGTCGGTTCCATATTTAACTTGTAAGATAGACTTTCGATCTTATTATATCTCTCATGTGCTATGAACTTGATCAAGTAAGGCACACAAATAAGATCGGGATCAGTTGTTACTTCATCAACTTCTCCATTTCTATACCGTAGTCTTGGATCTTGCACAAAACTACCCCATGATGAATTCTCGAAACTACTATGTCATACATTCTGAAAATGGTAAAATTGAATAAGTTTAGCAATTTAGTTTTAAATAAGATAATACATTTGAAATAAGCTTGTTAGTGAACTAGAATATACAAAATGGTGAAGATAAGCAATGGCTTTTAACACCAGCAGTACTGCCAGGAATATTGTTAATACTCTAACCCAAATGAATTAATACTCTACAACAGATGGACAGAGGGCCCAACCGGGTTCGAACCGGTGACCTCTTGATCTGCAGTCAAATGCTCTACCATTGAGCTATGGACCCCTTTGCGATCTGAGGTCAAATTTTATCATGTTATTCCAATTATTAGGAGGAACGAATAAATGCAGGATAGACAAAAAGGGCCCAACCGGGTTCGAACCGGTGACCTCTTGATCTGCAGTCAAATGCTCTACCACTGAGCTATGGACCCCCTTGCGATCTAAAGTCAAATATTATGATGTTATTTAATTACTAGGAGGAACGAATAAATGCAACACGGATAGACAAAAAGGGCCCAACCGGTAACCTCTTAATCTGCAGTCAAATGCTCTACCACTGAGCTATAGACCCCTTTATGTCAAGGGTTCAAAGTGTGATTACATCAGTGGAGCGAAATATAAAGTGTAAAAATGCAAAATTCAAGGGATAAATCTGTTCATAACTACTTTTTCAAGTTACTGAAACACAATATTGTCTCTACTTAAACTCAAACCCACAACATCTCAGGAACAACTTAGTAGCACTGGATCATCTCAGCTAGGTTATTATTCAATTTATTATGATTATTTGTTCATTGCAAACTCTTTAATACTTCTTCTCCCAAATACTATTTATTAAATGAGTGGGCCCAAACCTTCATACTTAATTTTGTGGTGTGCTTAGTCTAATAAAACTTTCAATATGAATTGATTAGTTTTTTATTTTTATTTTTCCTTTATCATCCTTTTTATACCATTACATATAATAAATACTTTGCCCTTGATTTCTATTTTATCTTATATGATGTTAATGCTACTCACTACTGTGCTGCTGCTTTGGCACCTTCTCCAGTCGCCATGCAGCTCGCCATGCACGATCAGACCGCCGCACCACTGCCTCACGATGCAGTGATATGCAGTACAGATGCTGGTTTTTATGGTTCACAACACGCCCCAACTTCCGGCTTCTATGTGCGTAACTTGGAGGGTGTTTTTGTAGCAACGGTTAATGGTCCCCTCTTGGCCGAGGTTATGGCGATACGTGAAGCTCTTTCATGGCTACAGGATCACAATTATCATAACATTGTTATTTTGTCAAACTGTGCGATTCTCGTTGCTAGCTTTCGGGACGCTAGTTCCCATCGTTCGTATCTTGGCATTATTTTAGATTCCTATTTACGTTTATTTAATTCGTTTTCTACTTGTTCCATCAAGTTTGTATGCAGAGGCACCAACTTGGTTGCTCATGCCTTAGCTAAACATGTAGGAGCGGTTCATGCACGCTCAGTCTGGAGGGAGTCTCTTCCTTCTTTTATTCCTTCTGATATAAGTTAATGCAATGAAGTTTTTGGTTTTCAAAAAAATATTTTGATAGTTATTTTTATACAATCTATTATCATAAATTATATAATAGTATAATATTTTAAAATTGTTTTACATTATATTAATTTCTTGATTTATATATAAACAATAGAGTTAATTTCATTTTAAATTTGTTCATAGATTTATATGTGATCGATAATCTACTTTTAATTCTTTAAAAAAATCACATTTTCTCCTAGTATTATTTTAACATAACCATGTTTGGTCTTCCATCAACAAAATCTTTTAAATTTGGTAAAATATAATGACATTTAAATATTCAATTATGAATTTATTTTTAAAAATAGAAAATAGAAGATCAACATACTTTGTATAAAAAAGATCAAAATGATTGAATTATATTTCAATAATTTTATTGACGAAAGATAAAAAATAGTCATGTCACAATAATATTATGACAATTTAAAAAAAAAAAAAAACTAAAAGTGAACTGATACTAACTATAAATCTATGACCAAAAAAAAAGAAGAGAAATTAACTCTAAAGAATAAGGAGTAATACATCACACACGGTTAAAATACGAAAAATACATGGTGTACTCCAATTTTAAACTTCTAACTTGTACTGCCTCTCACATGCTTTTGATATAGACACTTTTCAGTGGATCCACATGATGAAAATAACCAATCTTGGTTTGCCACCTCAGAGAGTATAAACGAGGGAGTAGAATTTTGGGAGTATATGGCTCTGTTTGGCATAACTTATTTAGGAGCTTATAGCTTATTTTAAGCTACTAATAAGCTATAAGCTCTGTTTGGTAATGTTCACAAAATAAGCTCATAGCTTAAAATAAGAGCTTATTTTGGAACGTTTCAAAATAAGCTCTTAGCTTCTTAACTTTTTTTTTTTCACCTTTATCATTGTTATTTTAAAGAAATGACATAATTTACCCTTTCCAATTAAAACACTTTTCTCTTATCATTTATCCGCAACTTTCACAGCAATTATTATTATTATTATTATTATTATTATTATTATTATTATTATTATTATTATTATTATTATTATGAGATTTGCAATAATATTGCTATTTCATTATGAGATGCTAGATCATGATTATGCTAATAGTTTTATTTTAAAATGTTAATTTTTTTAAAAAAAAGACAAAATGTTAAATTTTAATATGTAAACAAACTAATTTAAATTTTATAAAGATGTCCTTTTTAGTCTTTTTATATTTATCAGCTTATCAAAAAAATTAATTTTACCAAACACTTTCAATCATAACAGCTCTTCAGTTTTCCGCTCCAAGCTTATAGCTTTTCAGCTTTCAGATCGTAGCTTATAGATTTTCAGCTAGGTTTACGAAAAAGAGCCTATATAGTAGAACTCTAAAATACTAATCTTATTAAATTAACATTTAAGCTATTTACAAATAATAATTCATAAGAAAACGGGTTCACAAGGGATAAACGATGGAGAGGATTAATAGCGAATTGAACGAATTATTGAATCTCCAAGTTAAGCTAGAAATATGCATGGCCAACTATATTCACTATATATACCAACCTAAGAATCTTCATTTCCTCATTCCAAATAACATACGATTTTGCATTTCTTTCTCTTCCGTTTCCATTGTTTTTTTCGTTCTCCTTCCCTCTTCGAATAAAGAGAAGGAAAAAACAATGGCCGCCGCCAAACTCCTCCGTATTCCCCTCCTTCTCATCATCTCCATCGCTCTCTCCCTCCCCGCCCAGGCACAAAACGCCCCCTTCGACGACAAAGACGGCGGCGGCGGCTACGCCTCTGCTGTCAACACCATATCCCTCACCCCTGAGGCCTCTCCCGCCGCCGCCCCCTCCTCCTCTGACGAACCCGCTCCCGGCGGCTCCTACGACCCCTCCGTCGACGCCCAACCAGCTTCCGGCGACTCCTCGGCTGATTCCTCCTCCTCCTCCACCGCCGGCGATGACTCTTCTTCGGCGAATTCCTCCACTACCGCCACCCTCCCCCTCAAGGCCATTCCGTGGAGAAAATCAGACAATCTGGATAACGAACCCATAATGTCTTACGACGTCCCGAAGGATAAGCAGAAGAGCGTGAATATGTTCGTCCAATCCACGATGCAGGTAACCGAGGCGAAAACGCAGAACTTCATCGACACCGTGATCGAGAAGAGGCTGAACGATCCCCAGATCGGCACCTTCACCAAAGATTGCCTCCGCACATGCAAAGAGGTTTACGAGGACTCCAAGGACGCCATGAAGAAGACGCTGGAGGATGTGGACGGGGGGAACTACTACAAAGCCAACATCGACGTCAGCGCCATTTCCTCCGACGCCGAGACCTGCAAGGAGTGCGTCAAAATGGTGTACGGCAAGGACCAGGAGTTGGACAAGTTTAACACGTGGGTCGACGGCGTTATTGACCAGTGCCTCACCATGATCACCGGCTATAAAGCTTAATTTTATATTACTACTTATCAGAAATGCAAAATTAACAAAAAATTATATTATATATATAAATAAAAAGAATTAATTATTGTGAAGAGTGATGGAGCAATTAAAGAGATCGATCATTGACTGTATAAAAGTAGATATAGTTTATGTTCGCAACAATATAAATTTATGTATTGTTAATTTCTGACTTCAAAGTTCACAATTTATACATTTGTAGCGTACCATATATATGATACCAAACAAGATTCATCACAAGTTAATATTTACTCCGTATTTATTTACTACTAGCTAGTACATTAAAGCACATTACACAATTAAATCAATGTCTAATGATAAAAAACTCTAAAATTATATTATCAAAATAAATATAAAACTATTATAATATTTTTAATTAATTTTTTTTTTGATAACTACAATCTAACTCTATCTATATTCTACTATAGTAATTATTGAACATGCATGATTACTTTCATCATCAATCCCGGATATATAATAATAATCATTTAATTTGTTGATACTCAATGAACTAAAATACAAAAATTAATAAATTATATGTATTTGTTGTAAAACACGAAAATATAATAAGGATTTTTAAAAGTAAAAGTTAATGCAACCAATTGCATTAATATAGTTTCCTACAAACTTTCAGCTTTTGGTAAATGTTTAAATTATTTTTGTTTATTTTTATTATAGGAATTTCTTGAATGAGTGTTAACAAAAGTTTAATTATGGTTAATATTATTTTAGATTGAATTGGTATGTGATGGATAAAAGTTGGTTGAATGCTCATTGAATTAGTAAGGAATACGATGATGAGGTTAAAAAATTTGTAAATTTTGCAAAGAATATAATAATGAGAAGTTCTTTTGTAAGAAGTATTGTAATAAGAAAATGTTAATTGAGCGTTTATCTCATTGATTTGCATGCTAGCTACGTTGTTTGTTAGTACTAATATGCTTCTTGATGATGTTTGGTATGTAACTTGTGATTACCAATCATTGTGGTTTTTTGATTTGGAAGCCTTTCGTTATTGTGGCAATACTTTGGAATGTGAGTTCTTCAATTGAACATTTGAACCTATCATTGTGAAACTCAAAAAGTATTTCTATAAGGAATAAATATGTACAAGAAGTAAATTTGTTTTAATTATTTATGTTACCGAAGAATTAATAATACATAATAAAATACGGAGTAATAAAATAATCTGGAAATTATCTGGTACATTGGATGAGATTTGGGAAAATACAAAATGACTTACGTATATAGAGAAGGGCGGAAAATTCATTGATATGGCGGTTCTTGAGCCATATGATTGCCACGAGGAAGTTGAGCGGCTGATGTCTCACCGCCAGTGGGCACCCGTCTTTGCGTGGAGGGGAGCCACCTGTTGGAAAAAATAGCTAAAAATGACATAAAATGGCATGTTAAGTGGCTATTTTGTGGTACAATTATCAGTGTGGTCCACTTTCGATTTGGGTCGGGTTAAAGTGGATTCGGATTCTTCGTAGTGAGACGAAGAGATCGATATATTGTACGCTCAAAACGGATAATGGGTGAATGAGATATTGATTCTCAAAGTAGACCCATTTGAGTTGGAAAATGAAGGGAAAAAATGTGCTTTTGTCCCACATTGCTTTGGAATGAAGATTTCCCCCCCTTATATACAATAGCTCTTTTGAAGCTTGTAGAATTGTATAGCATAGAGGCTCTCTCGCGCGGGGAGGGGAGAGGGGGTGCAAATCAAATTCCAACTAGCAGAGATTGAAAAAAGGCGTGTAGGCTAAGTTATGCCAAACTTCGTTATCATTTTCCAACTGGTATAGCCACTTGGTTCGGCTAGAACCGAACCGAGCACCTACTCTCGTGCTACAAGAGAGCACGAGAGGTTGTGGTGCACCGAGAGCACAACTCTCGTGCAACAGCCACCTACTCACAAGAGAGCACGAGAGGTTATGGTGCACCGAGAGCACAACTCTCGTGCAACAGAGTCCACGAGAGGTGCAAGGGCCGAAACTGGATGAGGTCGAAAGTTGAGACTGAACCCTGTACGCTAACGGTCTGGAACCCGAAAGTTCTGACTGTTGAGGGGATTGAATTCATCTGTTACGGAATTAATTGTCTATTAATTCCAATTTTGAATTCTGAATTCAATTCCCAGGTAGTGGCCTGCTGTTATAGCTGTTGGAAGGCAGCTTTAATGTCATTTTTAATTGCCATAATAAAGGCTATTGGCTCCTTCAACCCTATATAAGAGAGGGTAGAGGCAGTAGAGTTTTTACACACTGTGAGAACAGCAAAAACACTGCACGAAACATTGTTTTTCCAGCCTCAAAATTCTACTTCTACTCCTCTTCTTAGCCATACTGTGTTCATAACCACGTCTTGCTCACCGGATTCTTTGTTTGAATGCTCAAACACTGAATCATAGCAAGTTTTATCCTGGGAAGCCTAGGCCACAACGCTCCTAGCATCTTTTGGGATGTGGCAAATAAGGTTTTAAGGAAAGAGTGCTCACTCGACTCTTGAAACTGTTGAAGGAACGCGATTGGAGCCGCACATCTATAACTTTCACTCTTTTTGGCAAGACACATTTTCTGATTTCAGGTATGGAGTAGAGAACTCTCTCGAGCGCGCTTAACTGGATGAGTAGCCTCCTAGTTTAGTTAGTTATGTTTTGATGTTTTGATGTTTTGATGGAATGTGGTTAAACCCCTTTGATATTATTACCATGTTTTGGATTTGTTTTCGTTTTAGATGAAGATCAATATGAACAGATACAATGAAAACTGATAAGGGTCGTAAACTGGATAATAAGAATGGTTTAACTTTCTAAAAGAAGCAAATGATTATAAGAAGTTAGTTATGTGAAAGCAAGCACTCAAAAAAACTAACAAGAAATAAAATTTGATACCTCAATAAAGGGGAGGTGACTACCAATTCAATCCTCTAAAATTCTGTGGATGGGGGTTATTTAATTTTTTTTACACAAATATTTATTATGTATGTGCGTAAATTCATGTTGTTAGTTTGTTTTTAAAGAAGAAGATGTTAAGAGTACTATTTTCTGTTTATTTTTTTTTGGTTCACTGGAGTTGTAACTTACAGTGGTCTGTGCGGTTTTGTGCAAAGACTGATGAACCGGATTGAGAGTAAGGCAATACAGGATAATGAATCCCTAGTCGAGACTTGTTTAGCGGCGTAGGATCAGTAAGAACAGGGGACGCTTTTGTTGAATTCATGTCCATCGGTTCCAAAACTTTCCAACAAATTAAATCGTTTATCCAACCCTATTATCAATGAAAAACCACCTTTTCAATGTCTTCTTGTCACAACAGAGTGTAATTGTGTTGCTTCTTGGCTTATTCTTGATGTTTATTGTTGATGTGTGTTGGGGTGTGTTGGGATGTGTTTGGACTGATTTTGGGTAAAAATTGATGGATTCTCGAGATAGGGAAAGTGCCAAGAAACGTATGTTCCCTTGGGTAGTTGGTGGGGGAACGAACCCCCACCTGACCACCCGCCGGTTTCGGCCACGGTACCAGCGGGTGGCCGGCAAGTGGTCGTTAACTCGGGACCAAATTAGTAATTTTGTTATAGTCAATGGACCATTTCAGTCATAACATGCACCATTTTTTCCGAAAGTTAATTACTGAAATGGTCATATTTGATGATCTAATCTGTAATGGGATTAATCATGTGATTGCGGAGTTAGAAATTTTCTTGAATTAGTGTTTTTTTATTGGTTTCAAGAATAAAGTATAATAATGTTCCTGAAATTGTACGATGGTTAGCTCATGGTCATAGTATGCAAATCATAGGTTATATACTCCGGGTTCGAGTTCCCGATATGTCTGAGTTCCCTTTCTATAGTCGGGTTGGGTCAAGCGGCTCGGGACCCAGCCTGCGGGTTAAAGTCAAAGATGGCGGGTCAAACCCGCCAAATCTTGGGCCTATAAATAGGGCCTTAGCCCCATTTGTTAAGGGCATTCACCCTCCACACACACACTCTCTCTAGCTAATGCTCTCCCTTCTCTAGACAGTGTTAAAAATCCAACCTCCCAATTGGTGCAAGCCAATCCCTAAAGATCGGTGCAATTTAATCTCTTATGTCGCGCGAGAGTTCAATCCTTTGATCGTGAGTAAATCCAATCCCATGATTGGTAAAGTTAGATCTTTCGATCGCATTTAATCCGACCTTCCAGTCGTAGCCAGCATCTCGATCCCCAGATTGGTAGAATCCGGTCTCTCGGGTTGTGCTGCAAATCCGGTCGCTAAGTCGGTAAAGTAGATCTCTAGATCATATCGCAGTTAAATTCGACCTCCCGGTCATAGTCAACAGCCCGATCATTGGATTGGCAAAGTTCAACCTCACAACTCGTATTGCAAAATCGACCCCTAGGTCGAGCAACCCCTTTCAGTCCACCAGACTGCACTCAAAGTTGTGTTCTTTTTTCCTTAGCTAAAAATTTTTTCCCACTAGATTTTTTATTAGCTTAAGGTTTTTAATAAGGCAACCGGCGCATGTCACGGACTGTGTAACCAGTTTTTCCAACATGAACCCTTCCTCGTTAGCTCGTCGTCAGGGCACGGACTGGGGGGCGGCATAAGTCGCGGACCGTATAGCTAAATTTTCCAGCCCGAACCCTTCCTCATTATTGACTCGTCGTCAGGGCACGGACTGGCGGAGCTTCTTGATACGTTATATTCCCGAGTTTGAGTTCTCGATACGTTCGAGTTCTTGTTCTATAGTCGGGTCGGGGTCAAGTGGCTTGTGACCCAGTCTGCGCGTCAAAGCCAAAGATAGCGAGTCAAACCCGCCAAATCTTGGGCCTATAAATAGGGCCTTAGCCCCATTTCTTAATGGCCTTCACCCTCTACTCTCTCTCTCTCTAGCTAATGCTCTCCCTTTTCTCCACAAATACACAAGAACACAATGAATAAAAGAACCTCCTTTACTATATCTCTTCTTCCTTATTCATAC